ATGTTACATAAATATAATTTTCAATAATATAAGGAGTTTAAAAATCTTATAAATAAAAAAGGCTCAATTCTATTCCTTTTGATCTTTAATTTGAAACCCCAGAACTTTGAAATAGAACAACAAAAGCAAGACACCCATTAAAGGCCTAGGACAACCGAGAAGTGCTGCAGACCCCCAGTGGGGGTCGCGCCCCCAGTGACGTGGCGCGCCCCCACTGGCTGAAAAAAAAAAAAAAAAAACAATTTTTTTTTTTACCCAATCATGAGCTACACCTCAGTGGGGTCTGAAGCATTTTGCTAGGACAACCATAGAGGGTTTCAAATATTCTGATAACATCATTGAAGGCGAACTTTCCATCTGCAGGCGATCAGGCCTCGTGATTTTACGCCATTACTAATGCATTTAGGCAAGCCAATTGCTAGGTGTCGTTTTCACATTCCATTCTCTCTCTTCTGAGGCACAAGTGATTGTTTCATGAACTCTGAAATCATCTCTGCAGCCTCGGTTGCTGAGAGCAATACGGCCTGCTTAACTTTAAATGATTCAGAAATCCCAATCTCCGCCATGCCAGCTAACTGTTAAAGATCCGACAGTTGGAAGTAATTTAGCAGTGTCACAACTAGCAACAAAGGGTGATTAACAGTTTGACAAATGCGAGCAAAAAACTTTAAGAACACAGAACTTGGAATACAAAACAATGATAGACAGGCGTGAAACATGTGGGTCCCACCCTTGTCTCATGTCTATGATTGTTTCTGTGTTCCTAGCACACCTCAATGCGAGCCCATGGCCCCATCCCTCTATTGGCTATGTTATTGTGAAGTCATCTCCTAGAAGGCTAGAACCAAATTGGTCTTTGAAGTTGCTCCATTTGAGCAAGCTGATCATGGACAATGTGACTTTCTATTGTAGACATGTGTTGCATTCAATTCACACATTATGCTGCCCCATTCATCTAAGTGTAATGTGGGCCACATGTAAATAATCTCAGCCACACAATCACTTACTGTGGGCTTTTTGCGTCTTAATTCTGTGTATCTACCTATTTTCGTATGAAAGAAAAATCTATATAATGACAATGGCTATAACTGTTATGTTATGATGTTTGAGTATCACTCACTCAAATTTTACCAAACTAAACTAAAGCTTTGTGCCACAATCAAATGAGTCCCTATATGAATCATTTTTCATCATTCCACTCTGTTAAAAACTATATGCTCAACCAAATTAAATAAATTCATATTAATTTTTTACTATCACGTCCAATGTTAATTTAGTCTTCTCCTCTCTTAGCATTTCTATTTACGGTGATTGTGTCACTCTTCCTTATTGTTGCATTTACAAGTCTCTGTTGTGCATGACAAAACCATCTTGCACGTTCTCTCTCAACCTACCTTCAACTAGTGCTACTACTCATGTAGTATTTCATGAATTATTCATTTTCATTTAGTGCTACTCCTCCAGATCCATTCATTAAAAATTTACTAATCCAAATGCAACAATAAAGTTTGCTATTTCCACCTTGTGTAAGGGCGATGGAAAAGAGAAAAGAAATATAAGAGATAGATAATTAGAGGTTGATTATCTGCTATTCCAGGAAGGAAAGCATGTTAGTATGTGTGTCCAACACAAACTATGCTTACCAACCAAACAAAAGACCTTTAAACCTTTAAAGTCAAGGGATGATATCATAAAATACATACCAGATACCCTAATACAAACATCGCCACAAACTTAGCAATTCAGACAGAGTCATTCAGGCTGCACCAGGTAGGATGCCCATATGTCATCTGCTGGAGGTGGTGTCGAACCCAGTGCCCTGGTATTTCGCTGCCACCAAAGCATGGCATTAGAAAAGTTGCTAGTTCATAAAAGTTATAATCTGATCCCAATGAGAACAATAAATGAATTAATGCGGCATTAAAAATAGTGAGGTGAGATCAACAATGCTTGATATCTATAGAGCTATAAGCAATACCATTATGTTGTACACAAGGACAAGGGCAAATTTTAGTAAATCATGTTCTCCTCAAGTAATTGCAAATTTGTCATGGACTGTCCAGGAAATACCAAAATTGGCCATTTTTTTCACAAAAAAAAAAGGGGGGGAGGGGGGGAAAAAAAAAAAAAAAAAAAAAAAAAACTTTTTTTGTTTTTTTTTCAGGGGGAAATATTTATTTAAAAATCGGTAGTATACCTAATCAAACTTGGTCCTGTGATATATGA